ATTGGACTCCCATGTAGTCGACCATGGTTTGAGTCCCAGACCTGGTGACTTAAACTCATGCTGGATACTTGTGTGCATGCCCAAAATCCCAAGAGGAGACTGGAGGAGAAGGGATTGTGGTGCGGCCATCCCCTCTGTGAGGTGATTTTTCATCCTCCCTCTCTCTCCAGTGAACGCATGTGCCCTATAGCAAAAATCTCTCTGGAAAAAAAAAAAGTGTTATAGGTCACAGGTTTTCACCAGAGAGAGACAGGGGGAGGGAGGGAGAGGGAAAGTGAGAAAGCAAGCCGCCAGATCTGGGATTTTAACTGCGGTCCGCCATGCTGCAATCCCTTCTCTCTCTTCGGCCTTTGGGATTCTGGGCATGCGCACACAGGCCTGGGACGTTTCTCAAGCCCCAGGAACGAGATTGGCGCGGGGCAGTTAGCCTTGTGGGATCCAGCCTCCCTAACCACCAGGCTACAGAGCCGCTTGCCTTCTGGGCATTCCCTTGCAGCTTCTCTCTCTGCAGGGCTGGGACAGACCTGTCTGGGGCACCCTGAGCCTGCGTCGCGGTGGCGCCAGGCCCTGCCGGGCACTCACGTGGTAATCTTAAGGACATCCTTCATGCTGGTCAGAGGGTCCGAGTTGTCGGGACAGCGCAGGAGGCAGGGAGCGAAGATGATGGCCAGGGCTCCGGGTGACATACGGTTCACGTCCTCCAGCAGCGCCACCCTGCACGGCCACCAGCAGTTAGGGGGCGGCCATGGGAGAGAGGGGGAGGTCCCAGGGAACCCCAAGATGGGAGTTTCGAGGCCCGGGGCAGCTGCCAGGAAGGGCGAGGACACTCGCTTCCAGGACCTGGGTGGCCCCAGCCCCCTCCCAGGCTCCCAACATGGTCCGTATCCTACAGAATAGCAGCCCGGATTGCTTCTGCAAGAGTATCTAATGGGGACCCCAGACCCCACCGGAGGCACTTGCTTCACAAGGTGGAAGATGAGCCTCTCCAGGGAGTTGTGGTTGGCCTCGGGCAGGTGCTCCAGGACGGCATAAATGGCGGCCAGCTGCTCCTGCTTCTCCGGCAGCTCTGGGGGAGGCCAAGAGCGTCAGCGGAGGGACAAAACTGCAGAAGCACTTTTTCCCGACATGCTCCGGGGCACAGGGGCACACCCGCGCCACAGGGAGAGTCCTGGTCCCGAACTCTCCGATCACAAGGGACAAACGAGGCTGGGTTCTGAGATGCGCCTAAGAGCTCGATCCCTGTTTCAGGGGTCTCACAACCGGTTAGGGGGGTTCCTGCTGCAGAATCAGGGGCCATAGCCCCTCCCGCCGGCTCCCCGCGCATGCCCAATGCACTAGTTTTGGCCCCCCAC